TGTCTTTTTCTGCAAGCACATCCAAACTAAAAAAAAAAAAAAAAAAAAAAAAAAAAAAAACCCAAAAACCTCTCCAATAAATAAATAAATAGGGACCAATATTTAGCATAATGGCTATGTTGCTGGACTCTCACGTAGTGGACTGCGGTTCAAGTCCCAGACCTGGTGGCTTAGAACTCACGCCAGGCGCATGTGCGTGCGTGCCCAAGATCCCGAGAGGAGAATGGAGGAGAAGGGATTATGGTGTGACCATCCCCCCTCCCAGGGGGTGATTTCTCACTTTCTGTCTCTCTGTCTCTCTCTTTCTGGCAAGTGCACACGTCCGACAGCAAAAACTGCCCCTAAATAAATAAATAAAATGAAATAAAAGAGTTCTTTAAAAAAAAAAAAAAAGTGCTGATGCAGAACCTGTGAATACAAAGAGTCAACCATATATGTATGCTGTCTTTTCCTACACACACCTACATATGATAAAGTTTAACTTTTTTTTTTTTTTGGAGATTTTTTTTGTTATAGGGCACATACGCTCGCGGGAAAGACAGAGAGAGCGAGAAATCATCCCCCAGAGGCGATGGTCATGCCGCAATCCCTTCTCCTCCATTCTCCTCTCGGGATCTTGGGCACGAATGCACACGCACCCAGCACTGAGTTTAAGCCACTGGGTCTGGGACTTGAACCGTGGTCAGCTACATGGGAGTCCAGCGACATAGCCATTACGCCAACTGCTGGTCCCGATAAAGTTTATGTCTTAATTAGCACAATAAGAATATTAACAACAATAACATTAAGTATTTTCAGACCACTTGGGAAACTGAAACTGTGGACAGGAGGAAGTACTGTGTTACGGAGGAGCAGCTTCTAGCAGGGGAATTTTACTCCCCCAATACTCAAGAGACACTAGCAAATACCTTGGAGACTTTTTTTAAAAAGGGATTTTCTCTCTGCTCGCCAGAGACACAGAGCACAAAAGCAAGAAATCATCCCCCAGAGGGATGGCCATGCAGGAGTCCCTTCTTCTCTATTCTCCTTCTGGGACATTGGACATGCACACACACGCCTGCCATGTCTCAAGCCTCTGGGTCCGGGACTTGAACCCCAGTTGGCCATGTGAAAGTTCAGTGCCTTAACTATTATACCAGTTGCTGGTCCTCTGGAGACACTTTTGATCACTGCGGTGGAGGAGTGGAAGATGGACACCGTCACCTAGTGGGTAGAGGCTAGGGATTCGATTAAGTATCTTTTTATTTTTTTTTAAAGATTTATTTCGTTTTATTTATTATTAATTTCTAAAAAGAACTATTTATTTTTATTCATCATCATCATTATTACTTTTAACTTGACCACAGAGAGAGGAAGAGGGCAAGTGAGAAAGCAAGTTGCCTGGTCTGGGATGGGAATCAGTTGGCCATGTGGGAGTCCAGCGCCTTAACCACAACACCACCAGCCAGTCCCTCTACTAAATATCTTAAAATGCACAGGACACGCCCTACAAGCAAGAACTATCTGCCTCGGGCCAGCACTGTGGCCTAGTGGTTAAGGCAGCCAAATCTCACATGGCTGACCAAGTAGTTTGGCTAAGTCCTGGTTGCTGGGAAAACACACACCAGGCAAGTGTGCATCCTCAAATCCTGATAGGGTACAGAAATGGAGAAGGCACTGCATTGTGGCCATGCCCCCAGAAGCGTGCTTTCTCCCTTTCCCTTTCCGTCTCAGTTCTGTCTGTCTTTCAGCTAGCCACATGCCCACTAGCAGAAAAAAAAAAGAAAGAATTACCTGCTTCAAAAAGTCAATAGCTGGGGCCGGCAGGTGGTTCGGTGGTTAAGGTATTGTATGGATCCCACATGGCTGACTTCATGGGATCCACAGCTTCAAAAACATACTGGGGGGAACCAGCAGTTAGCGTAATGGCTATGTCGCCGGACTCCCACGTGGTCGACCGCGGTTTGTGTCCCGGACCCGGTGGCTTAAAACTCACGCCGGGCGCGTGTGCGTGCGTGCCCAGGATCCCGAGAGGAGAATGGAGGAGAAGGAATTGCGGCGTGACCATCCCCCCTGGGGGGTGATTTCTCGCTTTCTGTCTCTATGTCTCTCTCTGGCTGTCTGGCGAGCGCACACGCCCTACGGTGAAAATCTCTCCAAAAACAAAAACAAAACAAAACAAAACAAAAAGAAAACATACTGGGTATGTGTGTGGTGCATGCCTGAAATTCCTCAAGAACAAGAGAGAAGGGATTGTAGTGTGGCCGCGTAGTGTGGCCATCCTGCCTGGGGTGTGATAGACTTCTTACCTTCCCTCTTTCTGTCTCATCTGTGAGTACATGTAAAAAACCACAGTAAAAAACTTAAAAAAATTTTTTAAGTAAATAAAAAAAAAAATGAATGGCCCTGCTGCTGAGAAATCCTGCTATATGATAACTAGAACTGAACTACCTTTAAGTAGGTAACTCTAAGCTTCTTCAGTGGAAAAAAGATACGAAGTGTTCAATTCCATTTATATAAACTTCAAAACCAGCAAAGTAACCTGCAGTGTTGGAAGTGAAGACAGTGGTACCTCCTGTGTGTGAGTAGACAGGAGGGACAGAAATTAGGAGGACATAGCAACCTTCTCGCATGCTGGGGCAGCCAGCCACTCAGACACGAGCCCCAGGACACGGCAGGCTGACGGCACATCTTGAGCATCTGCAGATTTTGGCACCTGGATGATGGGGGGGGTCCTCGAATCAATCGTCCAGATAGTGAGGTTTGTAGCATAAACCCTACAGAACCTTCTCCCATTTACTTCTTTACAGACACAGGTTAACTAAGCACCACTGAAAACATCACTTCGAGGGATCAGCAGATGATGTGGTGGTTAAGGTACTGGACTCCCACATGGCTGACCACAGGTCAAGTCCCAGACCCAGCGGTTTGAAAATCACACTGGGTGTTTGCGCACTCAAAATCCCAGGAGGAGAAGCAATTGAAATATGGCCACTCCTCCCTACCAATGATCTCTCAATTTCACTATCTCTCTTTCTGGTGTGAGCAGGCACCCTAAGGCAAAAACCTTAAAAAGAAATTAAGAAGGGACTGGCAGGTGGCTGGCTGTTAAGGGTACTGAACTCCCACATGGCCAACTGCAGTTGGAGTACCGGAAACTGACGGCTGGCTTTCTCACTTTCTCCCTCCCCCTCTCTCTGAATGTGTCCCTCTCTGGTCAAATTAAAATAAACAAACACATGGGTAAGTAAAGTTAAATAGTATAATTCTCTTTTTTTATTTAATTGTATTCATTGTCATTATTTTATTTTCTTTTATTTTGAAGTTAAACAGAGAGAGAGAAGCAAATTGAGAAAGCAAGCTGCCAGGTCCAGGACTCGAACTGCAGTCAGCCATGTGGGAGTCGGGCCGCCTTAACCACCATGCCACCTGGCGGCCACTAAACAGTATAATTCTTTAATAGAAAAGCAGCCCTTCTGTATGCATTAAGGCCTTTCCCCTTCCAGTCTTACGGAAATGACCGTAGTCTGGCAGCTTGTCCAGAGGACGTGCAGAGGAGGAGCCTGTGGCGCTCACCTTGCTGACGGGGATGCGCCTCCCCTCCGCGATGGTCTTCTTGTTGTTCAAATAGGCAGGGTAGATACAAACGAACCTGGCGGGAAAGCACAGGGCGTCACCCGGCAGTGTCCGCGCACGCCCACTCGGCCGTCCCCGCGGCCGGTACACCTACACGGCTTGTCCAGAGGACGTGCAGAGGAGGAGCCTGTGGCGCTCACCTTGCTGACGGGGATGCGCCTCCCCTCCGCGATGGTCTTCTTGTTGTTCAAATAGGCAGGGTAGATACAAACGAACCTGGCGGGAAAGCACAGGGCGTCACCCGGCAGTGTCCGCGCACGCCCACTCGGCCGTCCCCGCGGCCGGTACACCTACACGGCCTGCCTCGCGGGTTCTATTGCTAACAGCCTCTCTGGCGGTCCGCTACTGCACAGCCTCAGCGCCGGAGTACAGCCGTCTGGGGGCCTCCGGCCTGGCGAGGCGCAGCGG